CAATGTTCGAATCGTGCCTACCATATTTTATATTTATGTTATTTAATTCTTTAAATAATTAATTCTAATAAAAATTATAAAATTTAAATATAACTTTGGTGTTATGGCAGAGAGGTTATTGCGGAGTACTGTTAATACTTTTTTTCATAGGTTCGAGTCCTATTAACACCTTATTATTATATATAATTTAATTATTATTTTTTGCTTTTTAATTTATTATTAATTTTGTTTTGTTTTTGTGTATAAATTTAGTATAAAAAATCATTCATTATTATATTATAAAAGTATAAAAAAACAACTAAAATGAAATAAACAAACAAATACACATACAAAATATATAAAAGAGTAATAAATAAGCGAACATGTTGAAATTGGTAAACAATCTCTTCTTAAGCAGGAGTGGAAGTAATTCCTTAAGAGTTCAAGTCTCTTTGTTCGTATACGTTTTACAACAATAGTGTTCAATATTTTATAATTTATTAATTAAATTAATTAAATTATATTTAGACAGTTTAGTGTAACGGTTTGCACGCTAATCTCATTAGTTAGTAGAAGGGTTCGATTCCCATTCTGTCTTTATTATTATTAATTTTGTTTTGGTGAAGATTTCTTGTTGAAATCAATCAACTCATAACCCTTATTTTTAAATATCAGATAGAGGCTAAGTATTATAAAAGTATTTAGTGATTATATTTACTTTTTAGTAGAGGAGAAGGTCTAAAAACACTCAATGATATTATCGAATAATATTTAAGATAGAATTTATAGGAATTGAACCTAATTAGAAGAATAAATAAATAAATAAATGGGGGATCAGCCCATTTTAAACGAAACGAAAAAAAAATCTAACTAAACAAAGAATTTTTATTAATAATTTCTTTATCAATATTGATTTGATAAGGAGTAGTATTAATGAATTTATTGTTAAGATAAATTAAATTTCTTTTATTATCTGTTGTTTTTAAAGTATATAGCTGTTCTAAAACTGTAATATTACCAGCTGTTAAAGATTTAAATCATTTTAATTTTTGTTTTTTAAGATTGATGTATCTTTATAAAGTAAACTTTCAAAATCTTCAAGTGTTAATTCAACCTTATGACTTAGACCTTTAACTTTAAAGATAATATTGTCATCAGTTGTTTCTAAATAATAAACTTTAAGAGAAATTAAAATAGCTTTTTTTAAAGTATTTTCTAATTTAATTTTTCCTAATTCAGTATTACTAACTAAAGTCTCATCTAATGGTTTATTTATAAAAATACTATCAGTATAAAATAATTCAAAATTTGTATTATTTTTATATTGAGTCATAAGTATTCTAGCATAAGCTGTAATAGAAGAAGCTATAGCAATATTTACATTATGTGATTCAGAAGCATTATCTAACATTGTATTAATATTCGCTTGTTTTGATCTTGCTTTAACTAAGATGTGATCATCTAGTTCAATTAAATCTTTAATATCTTCAGCATGTTTATTTTCATAATCTTGATAATGATCTAAATTCATTATAAATATATCTTCAAAAGCATCTATCATACCAAATCTTCCATATAAACTATTAAGCAATAATTTAGCTATATAGTTTAAAGGATTACTTTTAGGAATCTAAATTTAATTTAAAAGAATATGGTTGAATTTATGTAAAATAATAAATTAATTTAAATTTATGATATTAAATTAATTATAATAAAGTCTTTTAGTATAATGGTTGTACAGCAACCCTTCAAGTTGCTAGTGCCAGTTCGAACCTGGTAAAGATTATTTAATTTATATAATTATTAAAATATTTTTAATAAAAACTAAACAAAAAAAA